ATTTGGGGATTATAGTTTCAGAGTTCTCATCCATGATGATGTGTGACGAGTCTTTCTCCATACCATCAGCTTCCAAATAATGGCAAGGAGACTTCTTATTAATTATGAAATCTTGGCCTTTAGCTTAGGCTTGTTCCTAACTAGTTCTTATAACATATTAATCCACCTATATTAATCTACATTTTATCACATGATGTTACTTCTCTTCCATCTTGTACTTCCTGTTTCCTCTCCATGTCTCCCGAGTGCCTTGATTCCTCCTCTTCTTCCTTTTTCTCCCCAGAAGTCCCACCTATACCTCCTGCCTAACTATTGGTCGGTCAGCTTTTTATTATACCAATCACAGCAATACCCTTTCACACAGTGTACATATATCCCACAACAATGGTGGAGTGGAGGTAGCAGGTAGCAAGTGGCTAGCACATCCACAGAGAGCTCAAATCTTGGACTGCAAGCAGAGGCTGAGAGCACACCAGGAAGTCTCAGAGTCTACCTCTAACAAGCCACACCTCCTAATCCTTCCCAAACAGTTCCACCAACTGAGGACCAAGTATTCAAACATATGAGCCTATGAGGGCCATTCTCATTGAAACCACCACACTGGGCTTACTGTAACTCTATGGAAAATCAGAGTGCCATCTTCATAGAGCTTACAGTACTGTGGACCGAGAAGAGGCTTATCATCATGTATCTTCTTTGGTAAGGCCTTTAGTCAACTCTTTTACCTTTTCTTTTTCTATTCTTCCTTCCCCTGCTCACCTCCAATTTTGAGATGGAGTCCCACTATGCAACTATGCAGGCTTGGCTGGCCTGGAAACTCCTAGAGATCTACTGGCCTTTGCCTGTGCTGTGATTAAAGGCATATGCCACCATGCCTAGATTCAGCCTCAGGTTTTGTTTTGTTTTATAACATAATTCTTTAATGATTCTTTGGGAATCTCACATCACGAACCCCAATCCCACTCACCTCCCAATACCTCCATATCCTCCCCTCACCCTTGCAGCCCCCCCAAAAAATGCTCCCCCAAAAGCAATTAAAAACAAACAGGCAAAAAAAAAAAAAGAACCCACCTTCCTTCTCCATCTTTCCAACACCTCTTCATTCATCCTCGTGGCATTGGGCACTGCCATGTGTCACACAGTACACCCTTTTTTCCAATCAGCCTCACCCATGAAATGTTCATTGCTGTGAGTCATTGATCTGGTTCCAGGCCTCTGGCAAACCCATCATCACTGAACCCTCATGGAGACTCCTTTCAGATATCCTCCTATTGCCCTGGGTTGTGGAGAGTCTACGGTTATTGTTCTGCAGGACCAGCCCTTTCATGTGCTCCAGCAGGTCATAGATGGGGTAGATGTTAGGGTGGGCCAACCCAAGGCCCAGGATGTGAGTCTGGGTGGTAGCTGAGCTGAATGGTCCAGGCCACTGGGACAGGCCCCCTCAGGTGAGGGGCCAGAGCCAGCTCTTCTACACCCATGGTGAGGGGTGGGGCCATCTCTCCTGAGTGCAGGGAGGCCAGCTCTCCCATGGGGGGTGCAGCTCTCCTGCTGCAGTATCCAATGAGGGGCAGTGCCAGCTATCCCAGGGCCAGTGAGGAGCTGAGCTGAAGCCCCAGGTTTTTAAAAAGGAGATCTTTGTTTTGATTCTCAGACAGCGTCTCCCTGTGTAGCCTCTGCTGGCTTGGAAATTGCCATGTAGCCCAGGCTGGCCTTGAACCCATGATCCTCTTGCCTCTCAACCTCCATAGTGCTGGGATTACAAGTTTGAACAACAATGTATGGATTACTCATTTGCATTTATTTATTTTTAATTAAAAAAAATTTTATTTCATGTGTGTGGGTGTTTTGCCTGCATGTGTGTCTGTATACCATGTATGTGCCTGGTGCCAATGGAGGTCAGAAGGAGTGTTGGAATTGGAGTTAGACAGTTATGAGGTACCATGTGGGTTCTGGGAATTGAACCCTGGTCCTCTGAAAGATCAGCCAGTGCTCTTAACCCTGAGCCATCTCTCCAGCTTCCCACATTTTAAGGAAGAAAGGAAGAAAGAAAGGAAGAAAGGAAGAAAGGAAGAAAGAAAGAAAGAAAGAAAGAAAGAAAGAAAGAAAGAAAGAAAAGAAGAAAGAAAGGGAAAAAGGAATGTTAGTAACTTTGAGAATTTATTATATATTTTGACTATAAATTCTGGAACTACTTTCTTCTAGTCTATGGCTTGTCTTCCTTCCTTCCTTCCTTCCTTCCTTCCTTCCTTCCTTCTTTCTTTCTTTCGACAGGTTTTTCCTCTGTGTAGCATTGGCTGTCCTGGAACTCAATCTGTAGTCCAGGCTGGCCTTGAACACAGAGACTCGCCTGTCTCTGCCTCCTGAGGACTGGGTTTAAAGGTGTGCAACACCACTGCCTGCCATCTTTTCACTTTCTTAATGGTTTTTTTTAAGAGCAGAAGAATTTAATTTTAATGCAGTCCAATTGAGTGAATCATACTCTTGTGAAACCTCTGTCAGATCACAGGTTTTCTCCTTCGCCTTGCTCTGTGTTTCATAGTTTCAGGTTTTATGTTGAGATTTATGAACCATTTCAGTTCAGTTTTATGTTTGGTACAGATGTGAACTGAAGTCCCCTAGCTAATAAGAAAATGCAAATTAAAGTAGCAATGTTGTTCCAGACTATGCCTATCAGGATGGCTACCAGTAAAAGAACGGCTGCACTACACAGTCGCTGCCTGGTGAGCATGTGATGGATCCAAAGCTCTCAGGCGCTGACGATGGGAATGTAGAGACCTGTGGGGAAATGGTTTGGCAGATTCTTAAAAGATGCAAATATACAACTGTAGGGAACAGCCATTCCACTCCGTGGTTTTATCTATGAGAAATGAAAGCACACAGAGGCTCAGTTGTATGCATATGTTTGTATGTCTTACTGTAAAATCAAGAAAAACAACTGAAACAACCCATATGAATATCCCTGTGAGTGGATAAACAGATGGTGGTGTCCATGCAATAGAACACAGCTCAGTAATGACGAGGAGTGAAGTACTGATACATATAAGTGGGAAGGGTCTTGATGTGATTCTAATGTACGAAAGATGCAAGAGAAAAATCAAATATATGGTGTAATTCTATTTATATAAAGCTCTGGAAAATGCACAGTAACCTATAGCAACAACATAGACTAGTGGTGAAGGGAATGGGTGATTATACAGGGATCTGAAAGGGTTACTAGATTTGTTATTTTGACTGTGATGGTGGTTTCATGGGATATACAGATGCTAAAACTTCAATTGACATGTTTTATTTTTCTGAAAATTTCATACATGTGTATAATTTATCTTGGTCACATCCATCTCCCCACTCCCTTCCTCCAAGCTTCCCATCCCCTAATTTGTACATTTGAAATATGTGCAGTCATTATGCTAATTATACTTTAATAACGCTGTTAAAATATGACCTGAATCACTGATAATTAGCAAATAGAACCAAAGTATAAAAAACACTCTGCACTGGGCAGTAGTGGCGCACGCCTTTAATCCCAGCACTCCTGGGAGGCAGAGGCAGGCGGGGATCTCTGTGAGTTCGAGGCCAGCCTGGGCTACAGAGTGAGTTCCAGGAAAGGCGCAAAGCTACGCAGAGAAACCCTGTCTCGAAAAACCAAAAACCAACCAACCAAACAAAAACCCTGCTATATTATCAGTTTTGTGTTGCTAAAATGAAATACCAGAGGCAATTAACTTTTTTTTTTTTTTTTTTTTTCAGTTTTTTGAGACAGGGTTTCTCTGTGTAGCTTTGCGCCTTTCCTGGAACTCACTTGGTAGTCCAGGCTGGCCTCGAACTCACAGAGATCCGCTTTTTTTTTTTTTTTTTTTTTTTTTGCAATTAACTTTATATAGAGGAAAGATTTTAGTTTACGGTGTTGGGAGATTTAGGAGCATGGTATCTGCATTGGCTGACTTAGGGGAGGACATTGTGGTGAATGAATAGTTAGTGAATGGTGGGTAGCAGTCATAGGAACACAAATCAGGGCAGAGGTCACAGCTTGAGCCAAGTGTAGGCAGAAGGAGGATGGGCGTAGTTGGTTGGGCTTGTTGCTTTGATAGTAATACCTCAGGACCTCTGCCGGAGAAATACCTCCTGGTCCTCAGTGATGTAGCCTTCCAGACAGGCCCTCTCTCCCCATCATTTCACGGTGTCCCAGGAGGACCAAAACATCTCACCATGGATCTCGGGGGCCACAAGCCATATTCAAACCATATCACCCTTTTAAACCTCAATTCAGTTCACTTAGAATCACTGCAGAGTTAAGCAGACCTCCTACAGCTCCTTGCGCCTCCAAGTCAGCAGTAAAAAGCCAAAACTGCGCAGGAAGGTTTATAGGCCTCTCTCAACCCACCAAGGGCCTCATTCCAAACACTTTAGTGTCCCAGTGATTAAAATTAAAGGGTCCCTGGGTAGGCATATCACCACACTCCATAGGGCTTCCCATGCACTCTGACGTTCTTTCTCACATCATCTTAAAAGCTCTGTACTCGTATTTCCATTTTGCTCATGAGGAAACCAAGTCTCAGAGAAGTTAAAGGGTTAGCGCAAGGCCCGCATTTTACATGATGGCAGCTAGGCGTGTGCATGCCTGTTTCCAAAGAGCCTGTCCTCCCGCCATGGTCTTTTTAAAGCTTTCTCCCAGGATCGTTGCTGTTAAGTAGGGTTATCTATGTCCAAGGCTTGCTTCAGAGACAGCCAGGAGAGAGGGAATGGGAGGTGGCGGCTGCTAAAACGCTCAGAGTGAATGTCTGGGCAAAGGAAGACGCTGAGGCTGGCTTCAGCCCACTAACACGCACTCCTGGGGAGAAGGGAAAGGACAGGACAGGGGGAGTTCAGAGAGTCCCCAGAGGACACTGTCAGACTCCGAGGCGACACTGAGTTCTCGCCCAGATGTACCTTTGTGAACATCCTGGGTCGAGAGCAGGCCTAGGGCAGCCCCTAGGCCCCGCCCCCTCGCGCTCGCCCCGCCCCACCCCGGCGCGCGCATCTGAAAGGGAAAGCGCCCTGGGCCTCTCGGCGCTCGCTCTCTCTGGTCTAGCCGCCCGCGCCTGCCTGGTGTCCGCGCCGTGGCCCGGGTGGCGGGCGGGATGGAGGAGCCGCAGGCCGCCGCGGGCGCGGACGTGTCGCTTCACAACTTCAGCGCAAGGCTGTGGGAGCAGCTCGTCCACTTCCACGTCATGCGCCTGACCGACTCGCTCTTCCTGTGGGTGGGGGCAACGCCGCAGCTACGCAACCTCGCGGTGGCCATGTGCAGCCGCTACGTGAGTGTGGGCGGGGCCCGGGCAGGAAGGGGGTGGGCCAAGAACTTGGTGGGGATCTGGGGGCGGGGCCTAGACCGAAGGGCCTGGTGGACTTGAGTGGGGAGGGTGGCAAGTGGGGACCGCAGGGGAGGGGGCTGGAACGGGAGAGACGAGTGGGAATGAGGCTGATCACGTGTAGCCCCGAGGGGGATTCTTAGGACTTTCAGCGCGTCCTCAGGTCCTTCCCTGGATACCTTGGACTGGAGGCCCTTAGGCCTGCTTCTAGACCAGTGGCGAACCCTGGAGTCAGCCCGCACTTGTATCTCCTTAAAGGGCGCTCAGCCCATCCCCTGAGCTCTGAGCCCACCAGAACCTCTGCTCTCCTTGCACCAGCACCCTGAGATGTGTGTGTGTGCGCGCGTGCCATCAGCCAGTTTTGTTTGTTTGTTTGGTTGGTTTAGTTGGTTAGGTTGTTTTGTTTTTTTTTTTGCCACACTGACGTTTAAAATTTACATTGGGTTTAGAAAACTTTTTTTTTTTTTCTTTTCTGAACTTGGAGCTTCAATTTGATGATTGGTACTTGACCGACAAACTCAAGACAAACTTCCTTTCCTCTTCACTGTTGGTCCCACAACCCTTCATCTCTGTATTGGCAACCCCACCTAGTCTGAGTGTTCTCTGGCTGTCCTTGGCCCTTCCTTCTCTCATGATTCATGTGTCCAGAGTCATTAAACCCTGGGCACGGCTGTCAGTGAAAACATGAGCTAGTGTGACTCCGCCTTGATGTCTGTCACCCAGAGCTAGAACCTCTCTCTGCTTCCCACTTGCTGTCTGCATGCCTTTCCTAGGGCTCTTCTAAGAAAGAGCCACAAACTGATTTGTTTTCTAAGTTCTGGAGATCCCAAGTCCAAAACCTGGAGACTGAAGGAAAAACCATCCCACGGGGCCTTCAACTTCAAGTGGTATGCTGCAGTCATCGTTAGCCCTTGGCTGTTAGATGCCCGCTGTAGTCTTCCTTACCACGTCACAGGGCTGCTTTCTCCCTGTGTGTCTGTATGGATGTCTTCTCTTCCGAGAGGGGTCTGCTCAGAGCCTCCTCCCCAGGGCTGGGGATTCAATCTGAGGCCTTGCTTGTGCTATGCAAGTGCTCCACTGAATGGAACCTCCAGTCCTTGTCTCTTCTTTGAACATACCGTAACTCATATTGGATGAAGGGCTCTGATATGAGCGTGCGCGTGTGTGTGTGTGTGTGTGTGTGTGTGTGTGTGTGTGTGTACACACATTACTATGTGTGAGTATGGATGTGCACATGCATTTGTACCTGTATACATATGGAACATGCATGCACATATGCTTGCACACCGTACACAGAAGCAAAAAAACCAGGTCAGACATTGCCATTCTTCTGCTAAAGACCCTTCATGATGAACTCTGAATATGATCCTGAGACTTTGGTGACCCCCACAGGGCCTGTTTTCTCTTAGTGTTCTTTCCTGCCCAGTCACTCCTGCGATGCTGGCCTCCTCTGAAGTTTTAATGTTCCAAGGCAAGGTTTGTGTCTAGTGCCTCTCGGACTGCTCATTAAGTCATTTGGAGAATGGTTGAGACTTCTTCAGGGAGTCCTGAATTGTAGCCAGTCAGGCAGTAAGGATTACGTAATCAAGTCTTACTAAAACATGGCCACATCTGTCTGTGCAGGTAGAGACTGGGACAGCTTTTGTGCTTTGATGGCAGGGCTGAACAGTTCTACTAGAGGTCCTGTGGCCACTGAAACCTAAACTGTTTACTGTCTGATCATTTCTAGAAAAGAAGTGCTGGTCCATGGAGGGCATTGCCAAAGGGTGTGTGTGTGTGTGTGTGTGTGTGTGTGTGTATGTCCCTTCTCTTCCTCCTAAACTTGTACGTCCTCAACAAACGATGGAGAACAGAAGTCACAGGATGAAGCCACTTCTCTAGCTGGCCTGTCTTGACAGCCGCAGGGGTTTTGGTACCCAGAGAGGATGCTGCTGAGCCTAATCAGCCCTAAGGATGGCTGGCTTGGGATGTAAGGTTTTCCTGACCTATGGCAGGGGTCGATGGAGGTGCTCCCACCTTCGTAAATGTGGCCTTGAGCATATTTCTACTGAGAGACCAATGTCCTATTCGAAAGTAATGAGCTATGTTAAGAACAGTAACAAGATGGGGTTTAAAATGTTATATTTGGAGCAACAAAGCCAGCTGGTAAGGTAGGTTTACTTCAGGAGGGTTGAGTTTAAATATTGTTATATTTAAGCCAAATGTTGAACTCATAGTCTGTAAACAGCAGGTTTACCATTATACTTTTGTATCTTTTTCAGCCAAAAAAAAAAAAAAATTCAGAAATGGATTCATTTATTTCCTGCTTTTTTTTTTTTTTTTTTTAATCTTGTTTTCTATATACCTAAAGAAATTCTGAAAGTGACTTTAAGCCCTTAGGAAATGATGTTGATCAGTTCAGTTGTCTCCGCCTGGATAGTGTGGCCAGGGTACCAAACCCCAGAGCAAGGTAGTGAGTGGGCTTTTTCCTTTTCAAACAAGCTTTTTTTTTTTTGGAGTGGGGGAGGTGCTCGATATTGAACCAAGGCCTTGTGCGTGCTAGGCAAGCACACTACTGTGTTACATTTTATTATTTCTTAGCCAAAACAAGATTGGTCAACCATTTCATACAAGGCTTTAATTTTGCTGTTTGGATGCTGGTAGCTGGTGTCTTTTCAAAGTCCCAGATCACTTACTAACCTTCAGAAGTCCTCACAAGCCTTCAGGGAATGAGAGTTGTAGGCTTTTCTGAGGAAGGCAGGACCTTGCTTCTCAGTGAGGAACTGGACCAGGCACTCAGACTCTGGTCATTTTTTTTTTTTTCCACTGTGGCCATAATGAGTTCGTTTGCTTCCTTCTGGTTGGAATACCCTGCAGCATACTTGGGAGTTTGTAACACAAAAACAGTCCCTTTATGTGAAATCGGTCATAGGGTCTATAAGCAGCTCCATGGGTCCCATTACAGGTGGCTTCTGTTTGCCCTAATTTTACTACCTCTTCTGTGTTGGGTCATCTGGCTTTTGGCTGTTGACTAAATGCCAGCCCCTGGGGACATTTGTATGTCCTTTTCTTGCCCCAACTCGACACCTTGTGTGGAACCCAAAGCTGCCTGGTTGAGGAGAACCCATAGTTTACTCCGCTCTTTTTTTTTCTTTTTCTCTTTAGGACCCCATCCCTGTGTGCACCTCCCTTTTTGGAGACACTTCTGACACGACCTCCAGTGGCCTTGCCCAGCGCTTAGGTATGTACCCACATCTAGTGCTCGTAACCAGCCAAATGTGACCCACTGCTTCATGTCCTAGGGCAAATGACGTCAGAAGTCAAGATCTTCATATTAGGGACAACTGCCTCATTACTGTTGGAAGCAGACTTCTGTCCTTTGGGTCTTTTTATGGGACACATCTACCTGTCCCTGTGTCAGTTGTCTCAGTATCATGACCCCAGGGAACTTTTGGAAGCTCCCACAACTTTCTTGGCTCCCCACTTGAATCCATGAGCTGATTTATTTTCTTGCAATGAGTGTATCATCTCCTTGTGGGAGAGAATGAATCCTACCCAGGGGCAGCTGCTCAGGGTGGCTCCCTGGGCCTCATGGCAATTTCTGTGGAGCCTGTGGCAGTAAGGACTGTTTCTCAGGCTCAGTATGACAGCCAGAGCTTGGTAAAGTGAATGCAGAGTAGAGTGGGTGTTTACCCAAAAGCATGAGATTGAAGGCTCCACTCTTCCCAGATGTGCCTTTTTTTTTAAAAAAAAATTATAAATGCACAGGTGATTTAGGTAAGAATAACTTGTGTTTTATGATCTCCAGCCCAGCTCCAGTTGCCCATGGCTGGTATGCACAGGGGATCCTCATCAGTGGCTCAGCCTTTGTATTTTCCAGCATCTCTAGTCATTTCTGAGCCCAGTGATCCCAGCCAGGGTCCCCCTGAATCCTAGCCAAGGGGATGTGACAGGAAAGAGCTCAGTCACCAGTTTTGAGAAACTGATATATCAGTTGTGTTTGGAGTTGTACAAAGAAAATTGTATGATCTTGATAAGTAGGAAAGTCTGTCACTTTCAGTCACCTACACATGAGCAACTAGCACACAACCCAGGAGGGACACCACCAATTCAGGAAGGCTCCAGACTTGTCATAGCCTATGGTTAGAGGCCAGGGAGAACAGAGGTCACAGGAACTTTCAGGGTCCTAGGCTGGAAACAAATGGAAGTAATTTTGAGTTTGTAGGAAAGAATTTCTGTTGCGTCTATACCAAGGCTTCTAGTTTTTTCCCTTCCCTTTTGGTGTTTACATTTTCTCCCCTATGAAAGTCAGTGGGGGACCTGATACCTTTTTGCTTCTAAGTGCTTCCTTGTGTGTTTTTAAACACAGAAGTGATAACACACTTATGTCAAGCAGATTATTGTGTGCTCATGTCCACTTAGAGTTGAGGGAAGTATCCATATATATGGGGACAGGATGCTGGGTTGAGCTGCAGTGACAGTCCCGAGTAGAGAAGGGTGGCAAAATTTGTCTGGCATGCCATGAATAAAAGTTTTTTGTTTTTTAAATTAAAGATGATATTTTTAATGTATATATATGTATGTCTTAGTATGGGTTTGTGCATGTGAGCGCAGTGCCTTTGGAGGCCAGAGGAGTGTTGAATTCTATGAAGCTGGGGTTACAGGTAGTTGTGGGCCATCTGACATAGGTACTAGGAACTCAACTCCAGTCCTCTGCAGGGACAGTATTTGTTCTTAGTGGCTGAGTCATCTCTCTAGGCCCTAAGGTATAACCCAGGCTGGCTTTCAATTTATGATTCTCCTGCCTTTGCCTTTTCAACGTATCCTAGTGTATGCCACCAATGATTTTATACCAAAAAAGGGCAAAGTTGGCTCAAGAATATCTATGAGATAGAGGCCTACTACCAGGTTTTGTGCAAAGTAACTCGGTGACCTGGCATGGCTGCTGGCGTCTTAGAAAGCAAAGTCCCAGGCTGACTGGTCTCTCGGGCCTGGACAGGTATCAGTAACGTATAATAAAGACAGAGGTGTCCTGCAGTAACATCTATGGAAGATGAATGCAGACAGGGTAAGAGCTGGGCCGCAGGGTTCTCAGTGGCTGTGGAAGCGTTGCATCATAGCTTTGCATGCAGGAGGAGACACTGAGCTCTGGCCGCCTTTCAGAGCAGAGACGGCCCTGGAAGGTTGAGCCACAGACGCAGTGGCCCCCTTAGCAATTAGACTGATCGGAGCTACAGTACAGTGGGCCCCTGTGGGGAGAGGGGAGGCCATGCCACCGCCACTGCCACTGAGAAGAGAGACTAGCACTGTGATTTTATGGCCCCTTTCTCGTTGGTCTTGGTGGATCGCACTATCTTGCCATACGTAACTGGTTCTCAGATCATTTTCTAAACTAGCAATTCCCTGGCTCCCTCTTGCACCTAAGGGAATGGGATGGGGAGGTGGCTGGGTGGGGGGTGGGGGACTTGTTGGGTCTCCCTGCTCCATTCCTTGAGCTGAGCAGAACACTGTTTGGGACACACTGCATGCAGCAAACTGGTGGCTGGTCCAAACAAAATGCTGTAAGCCATTGTAAGGCACTGTCTTCTGCGCTAACTGAACAACTGCTTCTGTCCAGATGCCTTCCTCTCCTTCTTCAAAGACAGGGTCTGTCTGTCTTGATTTGGCTGGCCTAGAACATAGGGTTAGCCTCCCATCTCCGCCTCCTAAGTGCTAGAATTTCGGATGACATATGTGTACCAGTATGTCTGGCTACATCCTTTCATTTATTTATGTTTTTACATTCTGTTTTTAAAAAAGAAAACAACACGCTGGGCGTGGTGGCTCACACCTTTAATCCCAGCACTTGGGAGGCAGAGGCTGGTGGCTGAGTTGGAGGCCATCTTGATTTACAGAGCTACTCCTAGGACAGCCAGGGCTACACAGGGAAACCCTGTCTCCCAAAACAAAATAAAACTAGCTTTATTGAGATGTAATTCATGTGCTCTACAATCCACTCAGCTCTCCTTAGAGCAGAGGCTGGGCTCTTTTAGAGACACATCAGCTGCCCAGTCAATGGCATATTCCCCAAGATCTCTTTATCTAAAAACAAACCAGCCCCAAAGAAACCAAACACAGAGTCTTAACTATCTAATAAAGAAAATAATTAAAAAGGTCTTTGGGAGTCCGAGGCCTAACTGCCTTTGATTTGCAAAGGAGGATCTGGAGCCCGAAGGTCTCAGGCTGTGGTGGAACAGGAAAGAGCAGGCTTGAGGGTAGCTCTGCCTCTGTCCTCGCTGACACCTCCACCGACTGCAGGTAAGAGTAGAGAGGGGGCAGAGTCACCACCCGTGGCATGTCCACAGCAGGCTCTGGTCACGGTGTGGTGGCTACCCCAGCCTTACTGCCAGGAGAGGAGGGTGAGGTCACCAGACTAGAGGGAAGGATTGGTGTTCTGACAGGTGAGAAGTAGTTTCTGCCCGTGCCCTGGGCATGGGTGAGGCCAGGGAAGAGGTCAGGCCACTGCCCAGGCATTGCTGAATGAGACCCTGGCTTGCCCTTGCTACCTGCTTCTGCTCAGGGTATTGCCTTCTGGATTCTAGGCATGTAACTGAGCTTCATTTTTGCAGTTCCGTCAGTGCCTCACCTATTTATTGGCTCTAGAAAATGCACATGCATGCCTGTGTGTGTACATATATACAAATATGTACATGCATAAAATAAGCATTACTCCTAGGACAGTGGAAAATGATAGAGGTGGGTGGTGGTGATGGAGAACTTCAATATTTTAATGTTTTTGAAATAACAGAATCTCAAACCTTTGAAGCCAGAAGCCCCATGTAGGGTAGAGGTTCTCAGATACTAGTGTGTGGTCTCCTGAGGACTTTTTAGCACTGACTGCTGACCTCAACACTATCTTTCTAGGTGGGCTAGAGACTCTGCAGTTCTTCCTGAACTATAGTGCTGCTGCTAGGCCTGTACTAAATCCACTGCTCCTGAGTCAAGGAGGGCCTAGGTGTCCATTTGCATGTCCAGCCCTTGAGAAGTCTTCTCCAAATCCCATTCTCTTCCTAAGCACTTCCCAGCTCTAGGCAGGTTTGTGGAACATGGACTCAGGGTATTTCAGTTGTGGCTGTCAACATATTTTTCTCTTTTTAGCCAGGAAGACCAGTAAACAGGTGTTTGTCAGCTACAACCTCCCCAACACAGACAATAACTTCACGTTACTCGTAGAAAACAGGATCAAGGAAGAAATGGAGACGTTTCCGGAGAAGTTCTGAGTGGCAGGAGAAAGAGGGTGTAACTTGTGTATAAATTACATTTCAATAAACAGGTTGGGTTGTGTCTCAGGCTGCATTTACTTCGCTTTAAGGAGTTTATTTCCTGGGCTTTCTCATCTTAGTGTGGTTCTCACAAGGCTTGAACTGATGGGCATGGGAAGAAGAAAAGGGGCAGACAGTAGACACCTCTGACTGTTCAGTGCTAGAGAAAGGGCAAAAGTGTAATTGGAAAGTTTAAATTCACACATTCCTGGTGAGAGTCAAGAGCCACAGTGGCTGTGCTTTAGACTCACATGGCAGGTCTAGAGGCTTCTGTCTTATGAACTGATAGGCCAGTCTTTTGAGTGCCTTACACACACACACACACACACGTGTGTGTGTGTGTGTGTGTGTGTGTGTGTGTGAGAGAGAGAGAGAGAGAGAGAGAGAGAGAGAGAGAGAGAGAGAGAGAGAGAGAGAGAGAGAGATTCTCAGTGTAGCCTTGGCTGTCCTGGAACTAGCTCTGTAGACCAGGCTGGCCTTGAACTCACAGAGATCCACCTGCCTCTGCCTCCTGAGTGCTGGGATTAAAGGTATGCGCCAAGCACCTCCTGGTTTACTTGTGTTTTTTAAAGCTACATTTGAACCTTAGTGCAGCTTTCTAGACTCGTGGTCTCTGTGGAGTCTAGGTTTTTGGCTGTTCTTTCCATCTGAGAAATGGCAGTAATCCCTAGCTTGCTGGGTTAAGTGTGTAGAAATGCTTTGCTAATTGTCCAGGCTGTGACACATGTCAGCCTTGGTTTTAACTTTGTTTAACTTTGTTTTATGGACACCAGTGCCTCAGGCCCCTTTGCTCTTACGGTCGGTCACCTTTCCTTTCCTTTCTCCCTAGTCCCTGCCCTGCGGCCATTTTTAATCCTTAGCCTTTTCCTGGCTACTACTTGGGCTCTAATTGTGATTTTTCCACTTGAGGTTCATGTGTTGAGAACCATGTTTTTACAAAAGGTGACCACCATTGGACCCTCTTGTGCTGAGAGGTAGACAGTTCAGGGCCTGTAATTATTTTGCACTGTGCTAAGAGTTTTGCACTGAGCCAGGCGGGGGTAGGCATAAGGGCGTTTAAGAGTAATGTTTGTGTTTCAAGGGGCTGCCTCCTGCATACTTTCCATGCCAATCTCTGAGGCCTCAGCCAGTGTTTCTGCAGTGAGGAAAGCCCAGTGGATAGCTCTCTAGGACAGAATAGTAAGTAACACAAAATCAGCTATGGAGAGAAGAGTTTGGTATAAATGCTTTATTAAAGAAATATTGTTTTCTTGTTAAAAAATACTACATTAGAGAAGAGAGTTTTGGATTATCAGTCTTTCCTCACAGAATCACAGTGTAGATAGTCATTCCTTGACCTCTCTAGGAATCCTCAGGCCACGGATTAGCAGAACACAAATGAGAAAAAAATTCTTCTTAAATGTGCTGAATTCTCAGATGGTTTGAGAATCACATAAACATTTAAGTTTAATCCGATCTCAGCCTCTGACTGCCCTCTAAGACTAGGACTCTTAAAGCAGAATGAGAGGCCCCACCATCCCTGGGCAGGTGGAGGCCGCTGACAGAAGAAGCCTTGAAAGCAGTGAGGCGGGGAGGTCTGATCAACATGGAGGCTTTTATTACTCGTCCTCGGTGGTCATGAAATGCCCTTCGTGGACACCATCAGGTGAGGTAGGGAAGACATTCCAGAGGAAATCTGTTAATGGGGCAACATTTTTATTTCTGTACATTTACATACAAATCTCCCCCAAAGGTACAACAGATGCGACACCATGCAGACACGCAGCTGTGAATGACAGTTCAGAGCTCAACATAAACTTGTGCTATGAACAGGTACCGCCCCCGTCAACACGCACAGTCACGCGGCTCTTAGAGTAAGAGCACGCATGGTTGGGTTGCAGAGGACAGAGGTAGGGAAGCGTTCCTCACTAGACACAACACACTGAACTGCTCCAAAACACACACAATACATTAGAGTGAGGTGGTGTCCTTCAGAACAAGGAGGAGTTGAAGTGTGGGCCTCCCTCAACCTGTGTGCCACCCAGGGGCTGGGTGTGTAATGGTCATGAGAGTCTTTGAATGGCACCTCCAGTTCCGGGACTCCTCGTTTGGCTCTGGGAAGTTGTCATGACTGCATGGGATACTCCCTCTACAAGGTCTGGTTTTGCTTGCTTTCCATTTTGTGGCCAAACCCATTTATCAGCCCTGTCCTCCAGTTGCAGGTGATTATAGTCTTAAAACACACACACACACACACAAAAAAACCCATCTAAACCTTTTTCCTATTTGTCTTAGGTGCTAATAATTAGATATTTCATAATATTTGACTTAATAAAGAGCAAAACGAAGAACTGATCCAGCCCTGTCTTGGGTGTTCACATTTGTGCGTAAGTTATGAAAACAGGTGCAGGGATGGGTGGAAAGTAGGAGTACAGACCTTCTAGTGTTCCCCAGGGACGGAGGGGCCCAACGCAAAGGACCAGTGCCTGAGAAGCAACTACCCACAGGAGCACAGGCCTGAGTTTAGGGATGATAGCTTGGTATCAGGGAGCTGGGCTGCCGCCATCTTCCTATGGAGCTAGCCCAGAGTGTCTGAGGCCTGAGTGTCCTGCTGCCTTTCTGACTTGATCAGACTACACCACAAGCTTGCCTACAAGCAATCTTTCCTGTTCTGGCTACCTTTCATGGAGGTGTCCTAGCAACTTCAGGTATCCATACTCTGAAGCAGAAACTGAACCACTCAGCAGTCTCCTGAGGTTGCCATATGAAGGTCAAGACAGTGCCAGCAGTCAGCCTTTTGAACTTCCTCTGGTTGGTGGTCCCTCGGCCCCTGCCTCAATGGCAGCTTCTCTGCTTATCCCTGATAGGTTGGCTCTGATTGCTGGAGCCATTAACATTGTCTGCCTTGGCCAGTGTTTTTATCATTGTCACTTGAGGTGCAGATTGGAGACCTTGACGTTTGGAAGTGCTGGACCTTGACACCACCTCCCCAGTGGTTTCTATAGCACTCGTAAGAAGGATAGCACAACCAGTGTGAGATTGCTCTCGACTATGAGATGTCTCCTTCTGTACTTAACAAGAGTTTGCTACCAGGTGACTTGGTAGCAGGTGCCCTGGGGAAGGTGAAAGGTATCTTACAAGTTTGGCACGCAAAGGCTGCACAGCTGTAGAGAGGCTTTGGGAAGAGGATGTGTAGTAACATCAAGGCATGGGAGGGAGGTGAAGCTAAGCTGGACTTAGAGCAGGTATCAGGGACTGGCCACACAGCTTCCTTCCTAGACATTAGTCCTCAAGCAAAACCCTCAGGACCCCAGGCATTGAAGAGAACATAGCCCAGCTGCTGGAAACATGGCTGCATATCACATCACTACCCTCATAAGGTTTTGATCAAGGCAGCTGGCTTCTGCTGATGTATCTATCAAATGGGGAAGAGAAACAGGTAAGACTGTAAGAAACAGACCAGACAGGGAGCTGGAAGGGGATAAACTCAACTGTGTTCTGGTCTTTGAATTCTAGCAACTGTCACTGAGAAGTCACTTAGTTGCCTGTCTAGGCCTGAGACCGTGATTTCTCTGGAAGAACACAGGGTAGAGACACAAGGCAAGAGGCAAGGCAGATGTTTGATCAGAAGCCACGATGCCCAGAGAGGCTGGCCCCTGAGCTACTGCAAGAGGTCCAGAGGCTGGTTTCTCAGCAGCCCTGGTGCCCTGCTGCCTGGGACAAGATGAAGGACACAAATAAGGGACATCCTGGGAGGCTGGCACAGGATGGGAGTTGAGCTTTGGGGAGTTATTGCTTTCTCTCACTTCTTGCTGCTTTCAAGGGACTAGAGGCCACGTGGACTCACCCGTGAGCAACCTGCACTCCTGCCCAGGGCCCTTTTGTGCTGAGTGAGTGACAGGCAGGAAGCCATTGAGGAAGACATGAGGTGGAGCGTCTCCAGGTGCCATGGGCACTGTTGTGATGTCAGACTGACAGCCATCCAAGCTGGAGCTCTCTACGGTGTGTGCTGGAGATGTGGGTGGCGGCTGTATGTGGGAGAGCAAGGCTCCCTCCTGGGATTTGCCTTAGCTGTCTTTTTCGGTTATTTTCCTGTTATTCTGAAAGTAACCACATTTTCAAGTAGTGCTGGCAACAGAGCTGACTGGGGAAGAGGGACCTTTGCTGCTGGAACTCTGTCTGGGAAAGTGTCTCAGTAGAAAGAACGTCTCAGACCTCAACACAACAGGTACTGTGGGTCTAACTGAGAAACCCAGTGTCAGGAAACGGGTGCTTTCTCATCACGTAGGATTTCTGGTGAAGTATGGAAGTTTCCCCACAGAAACTTCCAGATCAAGTACAAAAGGATGATCCTGAAGGAAAGAAAGATTAAGCTGGCTCTTATGACACTTGGGGGCTGCTTTCCCAAAACATGGGATGGAAACTACCTTACAAACAGAAAGGAAAAAAAAAAAAAAACCAACCAACTTTAAAATATACAGACTATAGAAAAAAAAACCAATTCATGTACATTTTCCTCTGTCTAAAATGTAGTCCCAAGGATGCTCCACTTGAGAGGCACAACTGTCCATGGCAGCGAGCCTGGAGGTAGGGGTCCTGGCCTACAGATGACCTCTGTCTCCTTGAGAGAAGGAGGAGATTTGAGTCTGGCCTCCAGGGAGGGGACTGGCCACTGCATTGGTCACTTACAGGGACTTCCTTCAGAGTGACCCTGCCTCACTCATGAAGAAGGTTCCACTTCGTGATCAGTGAGAGGGAAGGGGATAAAGTGCTTCTCGTAAAAATGACCAAAATAAATACAAACATTTCATGGCAGAAAAGAAAGTCTTCAAAGGGTTATTTCCAAAACATCTGATCTCTCGGATCTGTTCCTCGGATGTCTGGAAAGACAGAATTCCCCACACCGGTTGAAAGTCTTACGATTGAGTGGAGTCAGCAGCAGAGTGGGACTTCCTCCCCCAGCCATGTGTCTTCTCTCTGGTCTATAGATCTGTGTGCAAACGTTCCCCAGCCCTTCAAGCCTCAGGGGACTGGTGGAATGGTGGTGTGGCCCAGAGAACTACATGGACTTCATGCCATTGGCAGTCGCCCCCTCTGGCAACCCGTCACCCACAGCGGCCACATCGTGCAGGCCCGAGTAGTCCTTAAGCTCCGCGTTGGTGAGCAGCAGTGGCTGCTCTCCCTTCTTGTGCGGTAGCAGTGGCTGCCGTGTGTAGTGTTCTCCGTTGGCGATGTTCTCGGGCAGGTTCTGGTCCCTGCTCTCAGGCAGCAGGAGGATGCAAATGATGCAGATGAGCGTGCAGCAGGCGAAGATGATGTGGTGCAGGAAGTAGCCTTTCTGGTTGTGCAGCTCAATGATGGGTGCTGTCAGCATGCCGAAGCCTGCACTGGCCAGCACCAGCCCCAGCCCACCACACCTGCAGGGGGAGAGAGCACTGGCTTAAATGGAGCATACAGTGTTTGATACAAGTAGGGTGGCATGAGACAGCAGCTTGATGGGCTACTAGGGTAAGCTCACAGCATTGCTCTGGTTTAGATATGTCCCACAGACTTCCAGTATTAGAAACCTAATCCTCAAATTCAAATGGTAGTGGAATTCAGATATGGGGCCTTTGGGAATAATGAATATTAAATTCAGTCAAGAGGTTGGGGCCCCTGTGATGATAATTTTATAGGCCTTTATAAGGTGAGGAAAAGCCTGAGCTAGCATATTTGCTGTGTCACCATGGGATGCCCTGCACTACCTTGGGATTCTGCAGAGTCCCCTTTATCAAGGATCCATGTACAGCCCCCTACAATGGACCTCTCAGCCTCCAGAACCATAGCCGAACAAGCTGTATCCTTTATAAATTGTCAGTTACTACAACAGAAAATGGATTGAAGCACAAGGATGTTCTGTCTCTGTATCGGGCCCCACTCTGGTTAGAACTACCCAGGATTCCCCAGAGGTGGGCCATCCCAAGCCACCTTCACCTTGGCCGTACCTGTGGATTCCTACAACTTTGAGATCAGATAGGCCAAACCCTTAGTGGGAATTATTTCTCTCTATTCCTCTGGCAAGTGAGGAACCCTCAAGAATCCCAGAGAGATTATGGGACATGCAACACTTTTAGACACCCTCCTTCCATGGCTCTAACTTCTCTACTTTGACCTAAAACCTTCCTGGGATTAATGGTGCTCTGCTGGTACTAAGACAGTGGTATGGTGGTGGAGTGTAGTGCCATCTGGAGTGCCCAGGTAATAGGACAGAAAACTGCCTGGTCTCCAGTCCCCAGGCCCAGGGGACAGGTGGAGGTGGTCTTAATGTCCAGCAGGAGGAATACTGTTGCCTGCCCACCCTCAAGAACAGTGGAGAGGATGTACAGGGATGTGGACTTTGGGAGGAACCTTACAAAGGAGATGCTCAAGACTTATGCACCATCCGGCACAGGGACCTTGTTCTCAAACATGGAGTGGAAATGGCCAAAGGGGAAGTGTCTGCTGTCGCTGGGAGGCAGCTCTTGAACAATTGATGGTTTTCTTACTTGGTACTATAGGTGGCTCCCACGTCAGAAAAGACTACCCTACAAAGTACCAAGATACAAGGTCAACACAACATGTCTGTATGCTAACACCAAATTCAGAAATGAAATGAAAATGTTTCCAAGAAAGCAAATGCAAGGCTCACATGCTGAAAACTACAGGGCTTTGTTGATGGCAAGTTTAAGAAGCTCAAAGTAAATGGATTGGAAGACTTGCTAGTGTGAAGATAGTAAGTCTTCCCGAATCGAGCTATGGATTCTTCCCAATCTTTATCAAAATCTTAGCTGAGAATAAACTTATCCAAAAATTCACACAGTAATGCAGAAGACTCAGAATAGTCAGGAAGCGATTTTGAGACAGGAATAGAGGAAGACTTACTGTCTCCATTGTGAAACTTAGAAGCTGTGCCGATCAGTATGGTAGCACCGAGAGGCAAATCCACAGAACAGTGAGGGTTCAGAAACAGGGCTTTACCCCGGCAGCCAGTGGATTTTGACAAAGGCACTCATGTGGGGCAAAGGCTATGTAACAAGCAGTGTTGGCACAGCAGGGTAGTCCATGTGCTAAACAATGAAGGCAGAGTCTCCTTCACACCACACGAAATGAACTGACTCCCAGAAAATGTCAGGGAAGATCATTCTGACCTTGGGTCAGCATAGAAGTTGATCAGCTGGACTCAGTCAAAATCACTTTATTTTCCCCCTTCAGAAGACACATAATTCAGAAGTAGAAGCCGTACAAGTCTGGAAGAAATGCTTTCAAAGCCTGCCTCCGACAAAGGATGTAAGTTCATAATATATATAGAACTCAACTTGGCTTGAAAAATGGGGAAAAGGTATCAACAGGCATTTCAACACAGACACACACACACACACACACACACACACACACACACACACACACCAAACTGCAAACATCTAGAGAGAGAAGCTTGAGTCGATGAATTGCAAATCAAAACCACACTGAAAGGCTACTTCAGAGCTGTGAGCAAGCCTAGAATAAAGGACAGAACAATATGGTGGCCAAGACCTAGAGGGGCCGCAGTTCTCTGATAGCCTCCTGGTAACAGGGTGGAAAACAGGTGGGCATTTTCTTAAAAGGAAACATACATTTTTATATAACTAGCAATTCCATGTATAGAACAAGTAAAAACATAACCTAGACAAAAAGCTACAAGCAGATGTTTATGCCTTATAGCACTGGGAACAAGCCAAATGTCTATCAACTGGTGAGTGATAAATAAAATGTGGCATGTCCATATATAATGGAATATTACCCATTTAACACACGAAACACTGACAAGTTACATCATGAAAAAAAATCATGCTGATTGCACTATTCCATTGATATGAAATGTCAGAAATGTTGCTCCAGAGAGACAGAAAGCAGGACAGTGATTAGGGCTAGGAGTGAGGGTAGAAAGTGCAAAGCGGATGAGACTTTTTCTGTAGAGGGGTGATGGACGTGGTCTATGATTTGAGGGTGATGAACTATATATATACATCTACACGGATGAGTCCTATGTAAAGTACATGTCACTAAAGCTGCTAACTTCCAAACTGTTCCCGCTGTGGAGCCAGCCAGCTGGTCCAGATCCCCATCATCTCTTCCCAAGAGCCCAGACTATTCCCTCTCTGTGCCACCTAGGGCTGCTCAGGGGCCTCTCAGGGGCCCTATTAAGAGTAAGGTCCTCAGACCAATCCTGAGCTGATGTCTGGGACATGACTCAGAGCTCTCACCTCCTCCCAGGCACAGTGCACAACAGTTCCTGTTGGCTTCCTTGGGACTCCCCTGTGAGTTCTGTGGAATCCAGACTAAGCAAGCTGCAGAGCTGCTCCAGTCCTCCCGGAGTCCTCTCTCTCAGAGACCATATCCTCACGGTTCATGTCTCCATGTTTCCTCACTTGGGAAGTGTTCAAGGACAAGACCAAATCTGGCTCAGTCTGTAGTCCCTGGTATTCTCTCAGTGACTGAGCAACACCTGGCCAGCTGGCCCTCGGGCATTACTTGGTACTGTGTCAGATTCCTAAGAAGATGATTCCCACTTCCCAGTACTCCTGACCTTTGCCTTATATCGGGGCTGGAAGAAATAAGTAATTTCTTGCCAATAAAATACTGCAAAACTTATGAGATGTCCCTTCCACAGATACGGTACACAGACTCTGGCTATGATGAGGCAAGCTGCTGTGTTGCTGGAACACAGAGCAGGAAGCGAGATGTCCCCCAGTTAACGTTCTGCAACTCATGAAGAACTGGATCCTGCCAATGACTGCTGAGCCTCCTATCTCAGGGCACTGTGGCTCATGGGGCTTGGAACAAGGGTGCAGCTAAGCATTGTCCAGACCACTGACCTAGAGACACTAGCACAAGCCATAGAATTGGAGTCATTTGCTGTGCAGAAACAGATAAGTAGCTGGAATGCCCAGCCTTAGCTGTAGAACCTCTCACCCAGGCTGTCAGGGTCCTCGGTACTTTGTATTAGACAGTTCTTCACCAAGGGCACACAGAGAAAGTTCTACTTCTGGCCCGGCAAGGTGTGCACTGAGGAGGGACTACTTTTTCTTGGTGCTGTCTGGATACCAGCCCTTTCCCAAGCTGTGTCCTAGCCCACCTTTTAAAGACACTGACATCTTTCTGTCAACATTTGCTCTTAAGCCTATTGCCCTTATTCCTCTGTGAACCCTTCAAGGGCAAGGATTATTTCCTGGACCATCATCTGTCTCAGAGTTTGCATGTAATAAATAATGGATGCCCATAGATCATGCTTCCTGGAGAGCAATGAGATTGAGCCCACCCATCAGGTGAATAATATGAATACCTAAATGGCCATTCAGGATTTTTGGTAAATCTCCTCCCTTTGGGAAGCCACAGGATGTGAGGGGTACATCAGATGTCAGGGACCTGTTCGATTGGAACCTTTGACATCAGTAAGGTTGTTTTCCTCTGGTTTTTGCTTTCTCAGCTGGCACCAAGTGAGGCTGGCACCCTTGCCCATGTAGAGTTGCCATGCAGGAAAGCAGAATACAGTCCCCGATATAAGGAATGTGTGAAGTGCTCAACCCCAGGAGAGTCTCACATGACACTAAGTGAATGATATCAAAGTAATATATCATATTAATAAATAATGTTGAGTGAAGTATATTCAATTTGCAGCTCATTTAAATGTAGATATATGCATATGATATTCAGTATGTTCATATACATGGGTAATGCAAATTCCACTGTGATACATAACATTCTAGCTAGGGGAAAACTGCATATATGGTAGTGGTCTCGTAGGATTATAGTGAAAGGGAACATTCATATCCCTGTGGATATTATAGCTGCTGCTGTAACAGCTATCGTGGCACAGCCCATTCCTACATGATTGTAGCATTACTGGTGTAGGCAGACCTACTGCACTGTCAATCATATTTAAAGACAGCACATAGAATGATGTGCAATACCTAATACTCTAGGGTGCTAAATGATTCTGTTGTGGGTATGGGTTACATCCTATTATAAAGCATTTCTACTTAAAAAAAAAAAGTTTGCCCCATGTAGTAGCATGCCTTGTAATCCCAGCACTCTGGAGGCTGAGAACAAGGACAGTGAGTTCAAGGTCAGCCTGGGCTACACAAAGAGAGCTTATGCACTATACCACCAGCACCTCCGATATCATTTACTGCCTCTTGACTGCATCAAGAGGCCACAGAGTAAACAACATTGAGCATCTAGGTGCGCGTAAGTTACTCTAGGATGTCTGCAAGATGACAGATTGCACCAGATAGTGACTTATTTCTCCTCACATGTCCTGTTGTTAAGCAATGTTTGAAACAGTTGGATGTCTTCTGTTTCAGTATCAGTGATTCCTTGAATTTAATAACATTACAGATAATTTTGTAGGAAAATGGTATGCCATTTTTGTTTTTGTTTGTCATTTGAAGGCTCTAGGGATCGTTTCCCTCCAAAAGGCTAAGTCATAGGCACGTGCTGTTGCTCTGGGTGTTCACTAGAGGGCAGCCTAAACCCATGTGTATACATCAGTGAAGCTTCTACAGAGACAAAAGAGAACCTTGTTTCTTAGAAGCATAATGTTTTTACTACCCACCGGATAGCTTTACTTTGGGTAACGACCTCTAAAAAACCATGGCCAAACAGGCAGCCTTACTAGAGGGAGCAAAGTGTGGATCAGAAATAAACGTGAACCACCAATTTGCATATACTTCCTCTTTTACATTTCTTAGCTTTTCTTGACTGCATTTCTGTGAACTTAAGGATGCACAAATATTGTACTCATTTGCTCAGAAATGAAGAACTGCTAGAACTATCTAGGTATGAACAGTAACATGAATTGCCATTTGTGGAGTTACATACACAATTATCACTTGGTATCTGTGGGCTGTTTCCAAGACCCCTCAGGTCTTCAGATGCTAGAGTCCCTTTTAGAAAATGCTGTAGTAGTGCATGGAACCTACATACTTTTTGCAATCTTTCCATCACTTACCATTATTCCTAATACTGAACACAATGCAAATGCAGTGTAAATAGGTGTTTGCTGTATTTAGGGGGTAATGGTAAGGACTGTACATGTTCAGTAGTCATAGTTTATTGGGTGTGGCTGTTAGGGATTGAACTCAAGGTTGTGTACATGATCAGCACATGCTGTACCATTGGGCTACACTCAGGTGCATCATTTCTTTAAACAAATGCTGTCTATTTGTGATTGGCTGTACCTTTGTATAAGTCATGGGAATGGACGGCAAATCTTTCTCTCTCTGTGATGCCTTGTCTTGAGGCAATGTCAGGGCAGAAGACAGACATGGAGACCTTGCTCAGAGGGAAGGGTCTCTAGGCCAGTCTGATGCAAATGATCTGGACCAGAGTAAAGGGATGGGGCCTCCTGAGCAGCAGGCAAGCAGTAGTTAGTGGACAGAGAAGCAGGGATAGTGCATGGGGCAAGGATGGAAAGCCCATGACCAGGTCTCCACGGATTGGTGAGGAATTAGGCAGACCCTGAAGCCAGCTTCTCAGGGTCACTGGCGCCTGCGCATTCTCTTTCCTTGTCCTCACCCATCCCAACAAGGGGAAGGAAGGCTTGTTCTCCACTTTGGCAGTTCGGGTGGGGGAATGAGGGAAGCAGGAGGGTTGACAGACTGGAGGCCTTGTGGGTAGATAGTTCTACATCAACTCAACACAGGCTAGAGTCACCTGAGGGGAGGGAACCCCAATTGAGTAAATACCCCCATGAGATCAGGCTGTAGGCAAGCCTGTAGGGCATTTTCTTAGCTTGTGACTGGTGGAGGAAGGCCCATTTTAACCAGTGCCATGCCTGGACTGGTGGTCCTGGACTGTATAACAACACTGGCTCAGCAAGCCATGGGGAACAAACCAGTAAGCAGCACTCTCCATGCCTCTGCATCAGCTCCTGCTCCCAGTTCCTGCCCTGTTTGAGCTCTTGTTCTGACCTCCTCTCATGATGAACAGTAAAGTGGACTTGTAAGCAAAATAAATCCTTTCCTTTCCAACTTGCTTTTGGCCATAGTGTTTTATCACAGCAAGAGTAGCCCTATCTAAGACACTGCTCTTCTTACTTCAGAAGCTTTCTTTTCCACACAGTATTATGTAAAAAGGCAAGACTGTCATAAGAAAGAGAAAGCCCCTGGAGCCCACCCTCAATTATCTCTGGTTTTTCTGTGCAGAGTGGGTGGTATGGAAGTTGCATGTTTATCCTGTGGCTCTCCTGGGAATTCTTCATGGGTGTATTTGCAAGAAAAAGCTGCACAAACCATGGTGGGAAGAGTTCCCGTAGAGACTCTTCCAACCTGGCTAGGAACTGGACTCAATTTCCTTTCGCTCTCTGCAGGTACAAAACATCACCCAGGGCCAAATATTTTTCTGGTTTGTCATCCTGGAAAGCTGAACTTTAGAATGTATTTGTTCAATTCCTATCCCCAAATAATTTTTCCAGATTTGCATCAGAGAGGAAAAGGATACCATACCTCTTTCCATCTAGCTTGCTAAGCACACTGACAAGGAGGCCAGAGTTAAGGGGTGCCCTCCCCAGAGAAATAGAGAGTCATGCCATGGCTGCCAGTGGCTACCAGAAACCCAGGACTAGTGCAGACTTGCACTCTACTGGGAGATTGTCTTCCTGCATTCTTTTATAAAGGAGGGAATTTAACTAGGTGGGGGAAGGGTAAGTTACCTTCAGTGTTTCACAACTGCAAGCGCAAAACAAGCTTCTGGTCCATCTGGCTTTGGCTCATCCAGAAGGTAGAGAACTAGAGGGCTTACTAGACACCTAATTGCTTTTTCTTAAATATACAATGACTAGGTATTTTATTACAGGAACCAATAGCCAGCAGCCTTGGCTTGTATTGTAAAAATTCAAGAGAATGAGTCAAAATGAGATCATGAGAAAATTCTGTTGTCAGCAAGGAGGTAAGTCCACAGACCTGTCTACCTGCTCCGCAAGCCCTCCCAGCACCAGAGGGCCTAAAATAATTAGTCTCTCTGAGTCCCATCTGAACTGGAACAAGCTTGCTTGTTCTTCTGAAGGGTGTCATCGTGCTGACTTCTGGGTTTCAGCTCACAGCTGAATAACTGCCCACTCACAATTTCAAGCAAGCATGTGCATTAGAAATGCTAATGCCATTCCAATAAGGAGCTCAGTGTGATACGAACCAAGCAAGCCCTTCAGTAAGAAACAAATGGCAAGTGCAGGTGGGGTCTCTTACTCAAATGCTTTTGGATTTTGTAACTGTGAATTTGGAATATTTGCATATACATCATGAGATATCTTGGGAGCAGATCTCAGTCTAAACACAGATTTGTTTATGTCTCATATATGCCTTGTGGAGCTTTAAGGTCATTTTATACAACATTTAAAGCAGTTTTGTCCATGAAACAGAATTTTATGGACAAATTTTGTTTGTTCCATTGACAATTTTTTTTTTTTTGCTGCCATGTCAAAACAAACAAACTATGTTGGGGTTGGGAGTGTTTTAGATGTCAGGTTTTGAGGTTCAGTAATGTTCAACCTGTGTTAGGAAGAGGGTATCTGGTAGAGGGATGCAGTTAAGTGATGCTCTTTCAAATATCCTAATTTTCCTATGCTATAATCCCAGTGGGATCGAATGCTGTGCTTCATGACCCAGGGACAGTAACGTCACTTTACAAACAGACACTTACGACCTCTTAGGAAAGTAGGAGGAAAAGACAAACGTCTCCCAGGCCTGGGACTGTGCCGCCTTACTTACCTAGCCTAGTGCCTGCCAAGTATTAGGCTCTTGATTTGTTTCTTAACTAAGTCATTGATATAATTTTGGACTAGTGACCAGTTTCTCAGGCTTGGAAGAAGAAAAAAAGGTTCTATCTAATTTGTTTGTACATGTGGCCTAGGCTGACCTTGGACCTCTCTGATCCTTTCAGCTTCCCCCATCCCAGCTGCTGGGATTACGGGCAGGTACCACCACATCCAGTTTATGGGGTGCTGGGGATTGAACCCAGGGTTTTGCACATGCTAGGCAAACAACTCAACTACATCCCTAGTCCTCATTTTTTTGCTGAGATGGAGTCTTGTGGTATAGGCCATGATGGCCTAGAAGTCTCTACCCTCTGCTTCAGCCTCCTGAGAATCTAGGATTACAGGTGGGATGTACACTTAGCTTCCTTTTTGTCTAAAATAGCTTCTTCCTCAGTCTCTCAGTGGACAGTGCTGATTTTTACTGCAGATTGGCAAGAATGACTTACTTATCTCTCCCCTTTCTATTCCTTGTCATGTTTCCTGTACCTTAAACAGTTCCTTGTCTCCATGCCCCTGGTAACTGCCTTGATGGCATTTAAGGATACGTTCCCACCTGACTCCGTGAGTCAGGGTGCAGCTGATCATCAGACAGTAAGTCAGGCAGTCAACATGCCCTGCATGCCACCACACCCTGGTCCAGAAGCCTAGCTGAGGCAGAACTGATGACAGTTCCTTTCTCACAGGCCTCTCTAGACAAGGACCAATCTTGAGTTCTGAGAAGAAAGTCCCACATTATCCTGTCACTCACCTTATGACTGTGGGGGTGATCTCTGCACAGAAGAACACGCTGAGGCTCCCCACTGCATGGGATGCAAACATGCCCACGATAGAAAATGCGATGGAGAACTTGTCCTTGACACTGTCACTCATCCCTGGATGAGAATCCAAAGAAGGGAACCATGAGGTAGGAGAGAAGGGAAGAGAACAGAAGCCAGGCAAGGGGTGAACTGGAGTGAGGACCGGGGAAGGGAAGCCTGGGATATCCCAGGAGCTCCCTCCTCCCCAGTGTCCAGTTTGTGGTACAATTGGGCATGCAGTGGCCTCTGGGTGGGCAGTCCTCTAGGCTGAGGACCCTGGAGCCCTTTAAACATCCTGCTGTTGGCTTCTGTAGGTGCCTTGGCCACCAAGCATGCTGAGCTCACAGTGGCCTGTAGAATTCCTCATCCAGAAGCTATGCCAGGCAGAAGGCAGACTGGGGTGCCCCTGCTGCCACAGTGACACACTATCTGCCCTGGACTCCAGACTGCAACCTCAGGGTTGCCCCACCCAGTCCAGAGCCAATGTTGATTTAAGGGTTACAAAACCACACATGACCCAAATAGAATAATTCATGGTCCCGGAGGGAGGGGAAGCGCAAAGCGATCTCTGCACCCGGAGGTGGCACTGGATCCCGGCTGGCACAAGGCAGCACCGCACACAGTGTTTTGGCATGCATGGGGGCTGCACTTCTCAGCTCAGCTCAGCTTCCCTCAGTGTTGCATGGAAGGCAAGTGCTCGCATGGGCACTGGTGGCATGGGCTTGGTTGCGCCAGGCAGGTGCGATAGCAGCACGGGGTACGAGGCAGCACCTCTGCTGCTCCCCAGTTGGAGAGCAGCAAGCTCCCATGAGTCATGAGGGGATAATGGCTCTCCCTATAGCACAGAGAACCAAGCCCCAACCCTCCTGCCTTCTCATCCTGATTAGCTGCTGGCCAAGGACAAACAGCACCGGCGCTGGATCAGGGGACTGGGAGGGCATGCATGCCAAGCTGCACAAAACCAGGGAAACACGAGTTGCTTTCTCTAGTGCAAGACGGGGATAGAGAATACAAATGTATGCTTATAGTGTCCAACCTACGGCCAACTTCAGCTGCAGTTCTTGAAGGGCAGAGGAGGAAGAGAGAGAGGAAAGGAAAACCAGTTGGTGAGTCTCTGTGGCAACTGTTGTGTGGATGCAGTAAGAGACAAGGCAGCACAAGTGTGTAGGACTCACCTGAGTCTGGATGCTGGCTGTATTTGCCGATCACTGGAGCCATGGGATGGTTGCGCCCACATCACAGGGTAATGAGAATGGGAAGAGACGGAGAAGGCTTGTTAGGTACGGGACAGCTGCCGAGTGTTCCCATGTGACTTGTTTCTAAGTGAACTTCCTTTGAAGTCTGCATTGGTGCTGGCTGCCTGGGCCGTAGAATTCAGACTGGACTAAACAAAGACCCTTTTGTTTGAAGAGAAGGCTATGGCCTATTGGCCACAGAGTCTGGGAGACAATGCGGTCTGAGAGAGGACCCAAGCGGATCTAAAGGGAGCATCTTTGGGTAGAAAGTTATTCAAATGGTACTCTTGGTCTGTGCCAAGGGGCATTGGGCACTGGGAGCAGGCCTGTCAGGCCACATTTCTGCTTCCCCAAACCCTGTTCCTCACAGCTACTTGCCCTTTGCCCAGAGTCCCTGTGGCATTCCTGTTCATTGCCAAAGAGGGCACATGGGATACTCTGGAGGCTCTCCTGCCACCTCTGCCCTAACTGGGTAAGTTGGACACTTTCTCAAAGGGCAGCTAGGTAGTGTCCACCCAGGGAGGCAGGGAGAAGGGCCACCACTTGTTCATATTGGTTATTGCCCATCAAGGTACAGCACCCATAAGAATGTGCCTAAGTTAGGAAAACCGCCTGCATTTGAACTGGTTCTTCTCTAACCTGGACGACAGTAAGGCTGCTGTGGTAGTAGTGTGAAGGACAGTAGGTAAGTCTCACTCTGCAGCTGGGGTTAGCTTTCCTCCAAAGATGGATGTTCAGTGGGACACATTTCCTAGCAGTGTCCTGAACTTGTCCCAGAGGAAGGGTCTGGGCATGAGAAGATGCCAGTGGTCCGCATTGTGTTCTGGGCATTGGGGGAGGAGGCAGGGGGATTTTCTAACACACAGGTGGGTGGTTGTTTATGAGGACTATAGAGAGCTTGCTGGAGGGTTAAATGGACTCTCTAGATTTGTGTTAAGGTGATTTGTAACTTTTACAGAATACTTTGATAAATGATATACTTGGGAGCATCGATAGAAAAGCTGTGTCCCATGCAAGAATGTCCAGGTTTTTTTCTCCTACTGTCATAGAAAGAAACATGTCTTTGTCCTTATGTGAAAAGCTCACGAACAGTCTGGCCATGGTGAAGTCCTGTTTACTGAGACACAGAAGCTTGGCATGCTGGGGAGCTACAGTACTGCCAGAGGACTCTGATTTGGGGCGGCAGG